TCCCTGCCCCATGAGCTCTATCATACCTCGCCTTAAAACTATGTATGGTTCCTGCCTTGTACTTGTACTCGTTGGAATGCAGGAGATAGAGATATATCATAATCTACACTTGGAAAATCCTGGAAGGAGTGGTCCCGAATCTGCACACAGAAACAAGTGTGTGTGTGTGTGTGTGTGTGTGTGTGTGTGTGTGTGTGTGTACTCACCTATTTGTGGTTGCAGGGGTCGATTCATAGCTCCTGGCCCCGTTTCTTCACTGTGTATGTGTGTGTCAGTGTATGGAGATTAGAAAGCTGGTCTATGTGGTGTTTCACAGAGAAAGTTACTTGAAGCCCATGTGTGTGTGTGTGTGTGTGTACTCACCTATTTGTTATTGCCGGGGTCGAGTCATAGCTCCTGGCCCCGCAGGGCTGTGTGTGTGTGGAGGATGTTTACATATTTAAAAGCGATATATTTTAATATTATATTACATTCCTTGGCTGTCTCTCTCTCTTTCTCTCTCTCTCTCTCTCTCTCTCTCTCTCTCTCTCTCTCTCTCTCTCTCTCTCTCTCTCTCTCTCTCTCTCTCTCTCTCTCTCTCTCTCTCTCTCTCTCTCGTTTTTGGTAAAAAAATTAGATTGACGGAAAGTGATAAAACTGGGGAATGAGAGGTAATCAGGTTTAATCCGAGGAAGAGGAGGGTAGCTCCAACTTCTTGGATCAAGCTACTTTGATAACATTAATAATAATAATAATGGTGTTTGCGCTTTTGTTCACAATGAAAAGCACACAGATTCGAACCCTGAGCGTGACGGGACGGGGAGCGGTAAATCCGCAGCAGTTATACAACCCCTAGGGAAGAGGAAGAAGAAAAAGAAGAATAACTCATTTGGATTAATAACCCGGTGGGTTAGTAACCCAGGTGGTAACCCAATAAAGCCACTGTCAGTCACCAGACTGGCTTATTATCACTGGGATGTTTTAATCCTAACCCCCAGGATATTACCTACAATTCCATCAGTCAAGATGTCACCGTCATTAGGATTAAGTAAGTTTAATTAGGTACAGCTATACATGAGTACAGTTAACGTACCTAGTTATCTCACTGGGATAACCCAAAAAAAGTCAATGTGACTTACTTCTATTGGGGTCCTTGATAAGTAAATACGGTGCTTGAAGGGGAGAGAACACAAATAACAGTAAATAACATAAACAAGTGTTCATACCTGTGCCCTTGGAGTCCTGTGTGTCACCTATCCACTGTGGCTGGATAAACACCACAATGTTGATGATAGCAAAACAGATGGTGAACACTCCCCACAGGACACCTATCGCCTTGGAGTTCCTGATATAACTAGTGGTATAGATGTGTGACTGATCAGTATATTCTATATTCTTCTCCATCTTCTTCATTCTTGGCGACTCTTCCTCTTTCTAGCCTCACAAATAACCCAAGACTCTGTGGCTGTCGGTTTTTACCTATTTTATCCTCTTTTCCGTTGCGGTTACAGTTATTTGTTAGGTTTAGCTGTCTGGCGCACGATCATATTACAGTCGTTAACAGACGCAGTAGAATAACCTGCAGAATATAGGAATATACGAATGAGAGAAGGTGGCAGAGATGGCCTTGACAAACTGGTCCCCACGATGGTAAACAGGATAAGATTTACACACACACACTTCACTCTTGTTTTACTGCTTTAAAACACCCCCTTAAATGTATTTATGTATCTTTTCATACATAAATATTCTTTCGCACTGAATTCCTCAACACGGCGCATGTGTAATCTCCCAGTGGGAAATATTTTCTCACAAGAAGTCTTGGGAGAGTTGTAAAGGTCAGTCAGTAAGGATACCAGGTAGCTGTATCAGACACTTCACACGGTATTTTCCGCTATACACTGTATTATCTTGGTATATATAGCCTTGTTTCTAACCTCTGTATATACGAAATAGGTTCACGTCGGGGGTAAGAGGCTAGAAATTAGGTTGTAACCTCAGGGAGGTTGAGTTTGAAGTGGAGAGAAGAGCTGACTCGTCCCTCTCAGTGTGCGAGGAGACAATGGCTGGTGTCGCTACCTACATATTTGTTAGGTCTCTCTCTCCTGTCTTCGTCCCACCTCCACCCACCTTCTAACTGGCTTATAACAATCTTCTGCAAGTACACGAAGTTTAGAAGGGTAGTACGCGTGCCGGTATTCCCAGAGAGTTCAGTTTTCATTCATCTTGAGAGTGTTACTTGCAGTACCGTTATGTATGGAGTTACTCTACCATGTACTCCTTCTGACCCCCATCACTCCACTCTTACCAACGCTATACTCACTAAAACTACATTCCATTATCTAACAAATACATTTCCTTCTTCAGTGCTAATAAATTCTTGGTATAAATACAACGCTGACTCGTCCCTCTAACTCTACAGAGTCGAAAAATAGGTAAGAGGTGAGTATATCGAGGAGTGGAAGTTGAGGTGGTGGTGTCAGCCCTGGCTGCCTGGGGGGGCATGTGAAACCATTCCTTGCATTCTGGGTTAATGCGGTTGAGACGCAGCTCCTGGGTCCCAGGTACTCACCTACCTGTTGCTGTGGGGGGTCGAGCCTCGGCTCCTGGCCGGGAAACACACGTCACCACATTTAAATCACTTATCAAGCACATTGGATTATTATCATTAAGATTAGAATTATTATTATTATTATTATTCAAAGAAAGGCGATATATTTCAAAAGGTCGTGCTTAAAAATGCAGTTTAGAAAGCAAGTTTTGGTTTAATAATTGTGGTAATTTGCGTGATCCACAGGGAAGGATAGCTCCACTTCCTTGGATCAAGAGCCCTTCAACTTGCCCGCCTCCCTGCTGCTACACTGAGACTTGTAACAGTAAGTTTGATCCAAGATAATTACTTTATCATGCGTTGAAATCCCTCTTCACCATATTTAATAATAATAATAATATTATTATTATCAAATAGTCTGTCCTATTAATTTCTCTTAAGATTTTGTATATTGTAATTATAATTATAATCATAGGGGAACGCTAAACCCGTCGGATTATACAGCGCCTGTGGTGGGGGGATGGAAGGTATTCAGGCTTAATTCAGGGAACTAGAGCACAGATCCAATTCCCTAGATCAAGAGCCCCTCACCAGCATCAAGGAACCTTCCTTGAGGGGATTGTATATTGTAATCATGTCTGCCCTTGTCCTCTCCTCCAGGGTCGTACAGGTTTAGTTCTGGTACTTGTTGAGTGGACTCCATGCTGGGGCAGTGTACTCGGTGACTGTCTTATGTCGTGTGTATGATTCTCAGGAAATCTTTATTCAAGTCCCTGAAGGCTGTTCCGAGGTGTGCTGATCCTATGTGTGCTGCTGACTTGACAGTATATGGTTCATGTGCATTTCTGGTGATATGCTTGATGTTATGTTCACCCCCAGGTCTTATTCACTCTCAGATATTTGCAGCTTCTCTTGGGCTAATGTTGTACTGTGGCTTGACCTCACATTATCCAGTTTGCATGACCTTGCATTTGTGATTGAACTCAACAGCCACTTGTTTGACCACATCTGCAGTCTGTTGGTCTCTCTCTCTCTCTCTCAGGGTTATCATACAGGTCAATAAAAACCCCTTCATACAAGTCAATTATTATTATTGCTAAAATCAAGGGGAAAGCTCTAAACCAATAGGATTGTGCAGTGCCTGTGGAGGGATGTGGAAAATATTCAGGCTACTGGAGCACAGATCCAATTCCTTAGATCAAGAGCCCCCTCACCATTCATACAAGTCAATAAGGACTCCCAAGACCCTTTCATATAGGTTATGACAGGGTGTTACATATGGGCGTCCTGCACCTGTGACCTCACTGGTGTCAAGGAATGTCACTTGTGGACATACATTATAATAATAAAAAAGAAGCGCTAAACCACAAGGACTATACAGCTTGTGGAGATAGACTGGAGTTCTTTTCATGCATCACTTTATCCAGGAAGAACTTCCCGCAGGACTGGAGCTTCCAGCAGAACTGGAGCTTCCAGCAGGTACCCAAGTTCCATTGCTAGGTAGTCAGGGGGCTGGGATTGTGTTAAGAAAACATACTCATGCATCTTGTCAACGCAGTGTTTCAAGCAGGGGCCATCCTGTGAGTCAAGCTATGTCTATACTGATTTACTTGGCATTCCAGAATATTGGAATCAAAACTAATTGCTAAACCCACACGGGTCATACAGCAGCACTCCAGGATAGCAAGCAGCCCATTATCATTACAATCAAAAAGAAGCACTAAGCCACAAGGGCTATACAGTGAGCAAGCAGCCCAGTGCTTCAAGCTCACCTCTATGGTGCACAACCTTTTCAGTTGCCAAATAAGCTATGCAGTGTTATTTTTTATGAATTTTTATATTCATGGAAGGAACACTGAAGTCATAATAAGAAAGCAGTAAATACCAACAACTTACAGGAGTATAAACAACAATACTTAAACTTAAGTCACCTTAATTAAAGATGCTTTGGTCTTGGGATTACATTATTATTGAATATTAAACGGTACAAAATATTGGCAGGCTATTAGGTAAGACATATATGCAACAGATAGGTATCTTTATTTCAAAATAAAGATACCTAACTGTTGCTTATGTCTTATTCATGTTATAATAATTAAGGGGGATGCGCCAAATCCGTAGGATTATACAGCGCCTGTGGGAGGGATGTGGAAGGTATTCAGGCTTAATTCAGGGAAATGGAGCACAGATCTAATTCCCTAGATCAAGAGCCCCTCACTAGCATCAAGGAACTTTCCTTGATGCTGGTGATTATAGTTCAAAGCCCCTGCTTTGAACTATAATCACTTTAAATACTTGAAGAATACAGGAAAATACAGGCTATTATATACAGTAGCAAAGATAGTAAAAGTGGTAATGAGAAACTTTCGTTTTTCCTTTTGGGCCGCCTCCACCTCAGTGGTATACGGCTGGTACGTTGAAAGAAAAGATTTTATTGAACACTATCATATAAGGCACAAGAAAACACAAGTTATGTTCACAATTTTAATTATATTTACAAATGAAATGTACAATGGAATGAAGGCACACAAAATATATGAAGATGGGCTGGCAGAATGATGAAGTGATCCCACATGAAACATCCCTTCATGTTTAATTATTATTATTATTATATTCACAAGAGAAGCACTAACCCAATATTGGCCGTACATCACCTGTTTAATGACTCGTCCTCTACATCAATTACTGTAATTCTCTTTTTAACATATCAACTTAAACACATTTCTATCAACTAAAAGATAAATGTTATAAATTAACCAAAGAATTTCACACAAGTTCTCAACATATAAAATAACACAAGGCACATGCAAACCTGTGTTTCTTAAACTTTCAGTCCCGTACACCTATCTTCACATTACACGACTGATATTGTGATAACACTCAAGTAATAACTGGTAATAGTTACTGAGCTATCACCCACACAGCCCACTCTCAGACCAGACCTCAATGTTCAATACAAATACAGTGGACCCCCGACTAACGATGAGCTCCCAACTCGACCAATTATGTAAGTGTATTTTTGTAAGTGCTTTTGTAGGTGTATTTTTGGGGGTCTGAAACGGACTAATCTAATTCACAATATTCCTTATGGGAACAAATTCGGTCTATAACGGCACCAGAAAAGACTTTTGGATTGAAATAATATCGTTAGTCGGGGGTCCACTGTATTACAAGAATAAGAAATACAAAGAAATACACAGGAAAGCAAAAATAAGTGTACATTAAGTTGAATATTGTTATAGTGTGAGTTTCATTTAACCCTTTGACTGTTTCAGGCCCCTTTCTGAAACTGTCATTCTATGTCGCTCAATTTTTGAAAAAAAAAAAAAAAAAAATATTTTTTCTTATGAAATGATAGAGAATCTTTTCCCGATGGTAATGACACCAAAAGTTCGAAATTTGGTCGAAAACTCATGGAATTATGCTCCCGCGAAGTTAGCGGTCTCGGCGACATATGCGTATTGGCGATTTTGCCGATTTGAGCCCTATTTTCAGCCAATTCCATTGTTCCAGTTGACCAAACTCATAGCTATTTCTTTAGAACTCCATTTTATTTATCAGCTGAGTACAAGAAACCTCCCATTTACTAATTTGGACTACCCAATATGGTGGTCAGAAATTGGCAATTTGGCCAATTTCACGCAAACTAAAAAAGATGCCAATTTCAAAATAGGGTCCAGAATAAACAAGGTAGACATTCGTGGCACTAAAATAACATATGCTCTGTTCATTAGTCACATCTCTAGGCCCCTCTTATATTATTATTGCTTTCTATTTTGATTTTTTATTCATACAAAAAAATACAAAATTTACTGTTATGCAGACTACTGCATTATTGTAAAAATGGTATAAATAATATCAGTGCACTAGTGAAAGAATATTAGACTCCCCAGTTGACGTGTATTGGACGTGTGGTGTGATTTATTTACTCCTGAACATAGGTAAAAATCGAACATTTCCGCTACTTTGAGCTCAGTTTCAAGGTCGTTTTCATCATCAAAGTAATGAAAATCATTTCTATTTCTGTAATATGTTTTCCATTTTATCACCTAAGACCATGAAAACGCGAATACAACGATAAATACTATACGAAAATACATCTCAAAGTCGGCGTTTTATTCCAAAAAAAAAGATCAGTTTTTTTTCTCATTACGCAATGTGTGCTGCAGGATTTTTTTTATGTGGTGCACACTGACCACACAGACCCATTCTCTCACATGTGGGCCTACCAGCTTTCTCCTGCTTGATTTGAAGCCGCTAGAATTATTGAGTATATATATGTCAGAAACATTGGCTCGTAAGACGTATTTATACGTCAAAAACAGTCAAAGGGTTAAAAAAGAAGTTTTGCAGATTTGAAGATTTGTTTTAAATAATGAAAAAGATATAATGAGTGATGTGATAAGAATTGTGTAACAATACAATAATCCCCCAGCTGGAAAATAATTTATGAGAAAGAAAATTAACTGAACCCTCATAATAAACTTGCATAAAATTTAAGAACAAGTGTAACATTTCTTGGCTGACTGTCCTTGTAGGCCTGCAGGCAGCTAGCAGCAACAGCCTGGTTGACCAATCCATCAACAATGAAGCCTGACCTTCAAGTCTGGTTGTGCGGCAATATCAGTCACAGGTACGTCTGTCCCACAGGAATTAACATGTGGTGCAAATGTACTGAACTTCAACCATTATTAATGTAATTACAATACTTGTTTGTGATTAGCTGTTTCAGTTTACTAGGGGCAAACTCCCACTCTTGATCTTGCCTTTTAATTTCCATTTGAGATGATATACCTATCATATCTATTTTTGATCCCCCATTTTGAGTTGGCTTCCAACATGTCACTGTTCAGCTCATTCTGCTTATTTGCCAATCTCACAACACAAAATTACTTTCAACATACCTTTAGTTCATTTAGTTGAAAAATTTCCACCATAATCCCTTGTTCTTTCTACAACAATCTATGCCCAGTCTTGGCTAGCCAGTGGTAAAGGCAACCAATATGATCACTTGAACCTTTGGCCAAAATCAGAAGATTATATAAAAACTAAACATAAATGTGAATTATCATCATCATATTTGAAAACAAGTGCCAAACCCATCAGAAATGTGAAATCTTTGTATAAAAGAACATAAGATTTCTTACAATTTGTAAGAAAAAAGCAAAGGAATGTGAATTCATTACAGCATATAAATATCCTGCTTCTTAAGCAGAGTTTACAATCTTGACTTTTAAATAACAATTGTTTTACCAAACAAGGTGAATGTAAAGTCACCACTGAATAACCATGAGAAAACGGTTATTCAATGGTTATGTAACTGATGTTAATAATATTAGCTGGGATGGGGTGAAGGAGGTTTGGGCATGAAGAGAGGCTGGGCAGGGATAGATTGACAAAAGAGGGTGTATATATCTGGAGTGGCAGGTAGATTATCATCATTATAATCATAACTAAGCACTACACCCAAAAGGTCGGTGGCAAGTAGTGGGTAAAGGGGTTGTCCTAGGAATGGTTGGACGGAGGGTACGAGAGGGTTTGAGTTTTAGGGGCTTGAGCATCCAGCAGGCTTGTGTAAGCGTGTTAGGAGTGCGTGGAAACAAGTGGCTTTTAATGGACATGCTGTTGGAGCGTGAGCAGGGTAACCGGTTAGTGAAAGTTGGGTCCTGGAGGTAGGAAAGGCAGTACCTGCACTCTGAATGAGGGCTAGAAATGTTGCAGTCGGAGGATATCTGACTGTGATGTCGACATACTTCTGTTAAGAAAGCAATTAAATGAATCTTGGTGAATGTGTGTTCTTCTTTGGGTCACCCTGCCTTGGCAGGGGATAGCTGTTGTTATAAAAAATAAAATGCTAAATGAATTTAGAAAGACCTAAAATAGACTAGGATTGATCTAGCTTAAAAAATTTTTTTTAACCACACTCTCTATTTCCCACCATGATACAGTGATCCAAAAAAGAAAATACATTCACATCATTCATTCAATAGCTGTCTTGCCAAAAGTGCAGATGCAGCACAATTAAAAATTATGTATAAAGTATTAATTAAAACATTACATAGCAATATATAAACAAATATTTATTTAAAGTATTTTTGAGAGAGGTCTATTGGGCAGACTCTGCATAAAAAGTATGACATGTATGCACTGTTCTGACAATTAAATATAATGTTAAAACCCACAAATTTAAAAACTTGCACAGAAAAAATAAATCTTGTCCCTTAAAAAAATGCTTATTGAATATTGTAAGGCTGTGATGTATAAACCTCATAATGCAAGATTGTCACCATCATGTAGAATTATTCTTAGTCATTGTATAGTAATCATTGTATGCTCCTACAAGCAAAATGAGAATTACCTGATTAAATACAGTATGTCATATATGAAATTGATAAATTCAATAAAGCAATCCAGTATAGTATTAAGAAAAATAAATACACTTGGTCACTCTTCTAACACACAAAAATCATAGTCATCTATCAATATTTTCTGAACCTTTACACAAAAATAAACTTATTATGACAACATTCAAATTATATTACAAGCTCAACATACCACAAATTAGTCAATAAATAATTAGAGATGATATTTACATCTTTTTACTGCCCGAATCACATTCAGCAGGCAACAAACTTGTTAGGTAATATAGCGCTCCCTACAACTTAGGGTACTCTTAAATCACTGACTTCAATAAATCTTCTAAGCAGCCCTTAATCTTTCTGCATGGATAACGTACTAAAAGCTTTTTGCACCTACGTACTTCACTCAATCTTCACTATTTAATAAAAATAAAATTATATAGACTAACTCTTAATTTCATGTACACACAGGATTTGTCAAGAAAAAATTATATAGTATATTATTTTCCATAGTTAAGGAGATCAGTAACAATAGGATTTCTTACATGTTAACTTTTGTTAATCAAAGACATCCAATTACATCAAATGAAAGCAATTAAGGACTCCTACCTCTTCATAGCTCTTAACCTTATAAATTTTGTCCACATTAGAAGGCCTGGTTTGATAATGGGTCGCAGAGGACAATAATCCCAGAATCATTAACAACTAGAATACTTATAAAACATTAACACAAAATATGTCCATTAACCGAAGCAGGTGCACCTCAGCTTAAGCTGATGTGTGTCATAGCTATTGGTATAATTACACAGTACTGGTACACCATGCCTGAGTCCTGGTGATTTGATATATTTGTTAATGGCTCTGGGAATCTCAAACTAGACCTATAAAATCAAAAGGAAATATTACAGAAATAAGAAACACAGTAAAGTGTTTACTGACTATAAGTAGAAGGTTATAAAATTAACCTGGCCTTCACACATTCACAAGACAGAAAGAAGAGACCAGCAATCCTGCAAGTGCCAAATACTTAATAGGATTCCATTGCACACTGGTACTGTACAACAGTACTGGAAGAGACATTTGAGTGTGATGACACTATTGCAAGCAGCTAGCAACCCCTCCTCCAGTATAAATTATTAAACGTAAAAAGAAAAACTTTTGTTTTTCTTGAGGTTACCTTGCCTTACTGAGAGATGGCCAGTGCATTAAAAAAAAAAAAAAAAAAAAACTTGCCAACTGCCATTAGTGGCTAATCTCCCTCCACCATAACAAGATTGTCTTCTAAAATCAGTTTTTAGTTATTGTAGCAACAAGAACAGAGCTAAGTTAATTGTGTGGCATCTTCGACTGTTAAATCTTTATCTCATGTTTACTTTCAAATATATCCAGTGGTTGTACAGTATATGCACAATTTGTACATGTTCTATTGCTTGCACTAAAAAAAGCTCACTTTTTTGGCCTAATACATTTTCTATGTTATTTGCTAAATACATTTCAATTAAAAAAAATGAACAAAAACAATGAGGAATAAAATACAATGGTTATTTTTAACTAAACATGAGTTAAAGACATTTTTCAGTAATATGTGTTTGGGAGAATAAACTTCGACAACTTGGTGTGAAACACACTTGGTCTAACATTTAGAACATAAAAGTTCCCTATGATGTACAAAGTAATTCACTAGGTAAAATGTCAATATTAGGATAGCAGAACTGTTAGGGTAATTTGCTACACATTTTAAAGTTTCCTTAATTATATCAGACAAATTAATACAAAGACCAAAACTAGTGAATTACTTTTCCAGCACATGGAGGACCTATTTAAAATATTTATGAATAAAATTACTACAAAATATTCACCCTGGAGGATTCATGTTTCTCTCTCAAAAATTATTGCAATAGTTGCAAATGCTGAGTGCAATACTGAGCATGTCAAGAGGCACACGTCTCATGAGGTGGTGCTCACCAGTATTTACATATATAATAAGATAAAGATAAAAAAGGTAATGTCATACTGGTAAACACATTGAATGTCCACCCTTTAGAAAATAGACAAGACACAAAACTGTTTTGTTTCTATTTCCAAAATGTGGGTTTTTGAGTGGATATAAGATGCCTGTGAGCCTGGCAATCTGTACATGAATTATATAAATACAATAATACATCATATGTTGTTTAAGAATCAACAAATTTATAATACCAAACCCCATATTTATGTACTTGCAGTAGTTCTGCTGTGTCAATGTTGATTCACACTGTATAGTAATAGCAGCAGCAAATAAAAATATGAATCAAAGAACCGAGAACAATAATGAAAAGCAGAAGTCTGTAGTGTGGATTAATTATCTAGTATATAGCATGGTAGAACAAAGACACATGCAGTATAATGAAATTCTTTACTGACAATGTTTTGTCTATAAAGTGGATTTACCAAGTTTGTGACTTAATAAAACCCACAGCATGGGTAAAAATGTAGCCAATAAGGGATTCCATAATACTGCATCTCTCCCTCTCTTCACCATCTTGTCACAATCTGAAATCATCACCCACACAGCAACACTTTACAATATGTGAAAAAAATTACCTGTGGGGGGAAAACAATGTGCAAATAAATTTATGCTCTGCTGTAAGTGTCTGTTCTACCACACATCTTAACATGTTTTTTGTCTTTCAAACCAGTTATATAATGATATGATGAGATGGTATACTGGAAGAGGTGTCTTATAGATCAAGAGGGAGAGGATGGTGAGAGAGAAAAAAAAACTAGTGATGGTATAATAACAATGTACACTGAATAAAGATGAATGAAAAAAAAAGTTTGATGATAGCACCAGAGAAGCATGGTGGACAAGGACATGCCATGCAAATTATGTAGTATAGAAAAAAAAAGTAAATCCATAGATGTCAATGAGTACTTCAACAGCTGTCAAAAACTTAATGACTAGAGGCTGTACATAATAAAAATGGACTTTAAACAAAGACTGAAGATAAAAGCCCCATTTGCAAATCAACTCTCTGAATGAAGTGAGACACTGAAGTATTGCTCTTATCCCTGGCTGTCACTCTTACACTCGACTATATTTGTAAATTTACTTTAAAAATTAGTTTGTTGTTTTCTTCACATTTCCGATGAGGCTTTGTGTACATGTTTTATCGAGTAAATAAAAAGACTGATAGATAAAATGACTAAAACAAATTGACTTGATCCTGTATCTTCACAATTCTTTGTTTACTACTTACATAATCCAGAATATAAAATAAAACACATTGTCCATACAAACTGTATTAACTTTTTGCATAATTATTTCACAGTGTAAACATGTATAAAACAAGTCAAGTGTATTAACACAGTACTGATATCTCAATATGTAGAGTAGCATAATTTAATAAAAGTTTTACAGTGCTACACCTGGTAAATCAAAGTTAATAATAACAGAGGAGTTCTTGGTTAGGCTGCATGAACGTTCAAATATACATCCGCAGCATCTCACTCACAATTTCACGGGCTAGACTCCAAGGATAAAAGCACTTGTGCACTATATTGCTGGTTTCATATAATAATTTGTCCAGCTCCCAATACTGCTAAAAGTCAGAGAGTTTTCTGTAAGAGATAAAGATTAAGTAATGTAAAGGGTACGTGATATTCAACAGTCAAATCAACAAAAAATATTGATAATACACCCTTACTATTTTGTTAAAACTGTAATCAAACATACATACATTATAAAATAAATAAAAAATGTATATTCTCACACATGTGCATACATCAATGCACTTGTGCAAACACACACACATATAGGTGAGTACATATACTGTACTATATGAAGTTAAAAAAATGTCTCAAGTCACAAACACACGTATAAACAGACACTAGGAGGAAATTAAATTTTTATGATTCCTAATCAGCAGTTATAAACATGTGTGAAATGTATTGCATTGTATTACATGAAGTGTCTATCTTGTGAGGTCATTCATCACAAGGCAGCATAGAGGAAACTCAATCCTGTCTACCAGCCACTACTGTTGGTCACATTGTTAGTGGTGTTAGAATATGTGGAACACTCATCCTGTAGGAACACTCATCCTGTAGGAATGCTCATCCTGTATGAACACTCATCCTGTAGGAACACTCATCCTGTAGGAACACTCATCCTGTAGAAACACTCATCCTGTAGGAACACTCATCCTGTAGAAACACTCATCCTGTAGGAACACTCATCCTGTAGAAACACTCATCCTGTAGGAACACTCATCCTGTAGGAACACTCATCCTGTAGGAACACTCATCCTGTAGGAACACTCATCCTGTAGGAACACTCATCCTGTAGGAACACTCATCCTGTAGGAACACTCATCCTATAAGAACACTCACTCTGTAGGAACACTCATCCTGGGGTTTGGGCTTGTTGTTGAGTAAAATAGGATGACTAGGAGGGCATATAAATCTAGGGTGTAAGAATGGAGGGGTCATCCTAGGAAAGGCTGGAGGGAAGGGGGGTAAAACAGGTTTTGAGTGTGAGGGAGTTTGTGTGAATGTGTTAGATAGGAGTGGAGGCAATTGGCTTTTATGATTTGATGTTCTGTTGGAGTGTGAGCACAGTAATATTTATGGAGGGATTCAGGGAAACTGGTTAGCCACATATGAGTCCTGGAGGTGGGAAGTTCAATGCCTGCTGTAGTTTGGAGGGTCATGTGAACTGTGATGTTAGTACGCTTCTGTCAAGACAGTGGCTGAACGAGTGACAGTAAAAGTGCTTTCTTCGTTGTCTGGTCACCCTACCTCAGTGGGGGATGGCCGGAGTGTTAAAAAAAGAATGCTGAGAGTCAGAGTTTTTCACTAGTGAAGGTAACTGAACTAATATACATTTCAAGTGGTGAAAGCCTCATAATATTATACAGCTCCTAAGATAGAGATGCAACTGATAGGAAGCAGTAGCAATATAATTTTTTTTTTTTTTCAACAAGTCGGCCGTCTCCCACCGAGGCAGGGTGACCCAAAAAATAATTTATACGACTTTTGAACAAATATAATTTCGCAAAGAATTTTGCAATGAATCTAACATTTTGTTATATTTTATTCAATTTGATTATGATTGATTCAGTTTTAATATAAGTAACAAAGTAGTTACTCAGCACACACATTAACCCACAAGTTATATTCATGATTGTATCAAAATGGACAATGGAAAACTATAATGTAAATTTTAGATATTGACAAACACTGTAAAGTTGATGGTGACTTTAATACTAATTAACACATGTGGGTAATAAACATGCTCAAGCTAAGCATTAATAATATCTGAAAATAGTCAACACACTTTGAAAATAGTGATAATGACATTCAAATGTGCAAACTGCATGCACAGTGAGGTACACAAATTTATTCTACAGGGTATAAATTAAAGATTACTTTCACACTGAATAACTAAATCAGAACAAAAAAAAATATGTTAATAAATTACATTTGTAAAAATCCTGACTAGCACTACATAGCACAAAGTCAGGGATGACAATGAGGAGTCAGTGTTGATAGATCACGACCTCAAACTACTCGGTGCACTTGCAATAAAGGAATACACTCAGGTGTCAACTGTAAATTAGCCAGAGTAAGAGAATGATAGCAGCTTAACTTGAATTAAAATAAACACGAATAGCCTGATGCTCAGATAACTAAATCCTTCTCCTGTATTACCTTGAGGATCGCCCATGGTGCAAAAAGTGTCATAGAATGGCACGCACACACACACATGCAATGCTATTATATGTACAGTGTTTCAAAATAATTTACCCAGTTTCAAAGCAGTCTGCTTTGAGACTGGGTCCACCATTTTTGAAACACCCTGTATTACTGTACAAATGGAATACTGTATTTCAAAATACATTAACAATTCTTTACCTAAATATTTTGTTTTATTTAAATTTCTAAAATCTTGACTCATCCTCATAAGAACTAGCATGTGTTAAGGTGCTTCCAAAACAATGAAATTGTTAGCCGCGTGATGGTCAAGACTGGCAAGCCATTAATACTTTATTTAGAGGTAAAAGCAATAATGCACGTGTCATAATCATGATTAACCTTTGAGCGATCAAAAAAAAAAAAAAAAAAAAAAACAAAAAAAAAAAAAATTGTAAAGAATTTGCAGTAGTACAAATAATCAAATAATTAAAATGGAAGTTGAAGGAAACAGGAGAATGTTGTATTGCAAGTTGATAGTCACGAAACCCTTACCTGTTGCCTGTGAGGATACTGCCACCCTCGCTATGCTCTTTTTTGTAATTCAGTCTCTTTCTGTCTGTCTGTGTCTGTCTGTCTGTCTCTCTCTCTTTCTCTTTCCGAGTTGGGTCAAGTAATTTCATGAAGGCTGACACCTCCATTGTATATTCCTTTACAAAAAGTTTTGTAAATCTACATAAGAAGCAGTTTCCCCATGCAGTTGTAGATATACAAGTTGCACACTAAGTAAATACTATATACAAGCTGCATAACTGAAGAGTTAAACCTCACACTCTGTACAATATTTCTGTTCTGGGAATTTACTGCGCTCTGTCCACTACTGATATTTCATAATGAAGTAAGCCATTTTTGCTTACTATAATACATCCAGTGTTGTACCATGCGTTAACTTTTTCCAAAGTAGCCATAAAGGATCACACAATTAATATAACTGTCCATTATCTTATCATCACTCTTTGTATTGCTGACAATTCAAAGAATCTAAACTGGCAATAATTAGAAGTCTACTTAGAACATTCGCACTCTTACAGTATAAAACAACCTTGGCAGTTTGGTGGAGGATTTCCATCAGCAGCACATGAAGGGAAATTGACTTAAGCATATAAAGTAAATAAAAACACGTTGGCATTAGGAAGACATGTTGCTCTCTTCCAAATGCTATCAATTGTTACTTCATGGCATAGTCATCAAAATGTTATACTGACAAGGGAAATGTTAAACTCACAGGGGTCATACATGGGTGGGGTGGTAACCAGGTTTGATTTGAGGAAGAAGAAGGCAGCTCCAATCCCCTCAATCAAAAGCCCTTCACCAGCCTCAAAGGTACTTCCCTTGAAGGGCATAGTTGTCCTGAGCAACCTCAAATTGTCCTCTCCGACACTGATTGTGCCTTGATTGTGGCATACAACACATCACAAATTTTTAAAATGCTGCTATCATCCTGCATACCCTCCATCTTAAGTTAGAGTGCAAAGGAAGACTTTCAGTGTAAATACCAAGTGGCTAACTCTTACTACAAGTCTGGTTGGCTCGGTGCTTTGCTACTTGCATTTTCTAACAATCTAACAGGAAAGAAGAAAGTTACAAAAATTAGAAATTTTAAATTATAGTAGACCATACTTTCTACTTTTGAGCTCTTTTCAAAACATAATCTGGAAATTAAAGTTGCACATGATAAAACAAGTAAAACAAAAAAAACTGAATATTCAATAAAGAAATGTGTTGTTACATGTCTTTGTATGTACATCATTATAGAAATATATGAGCTGGTGAATAATGGTGGATATATCTTTCATTTCTTCTTCTTCGGGTCACCCTGCCTTGGTGGAGATGGCCAGTGTGTTAATGAAACTATCTTAACGCTTTGACTGTCGCAAGTCCCTTTCTGAAACTGTCATTCTATGTCGCAAAATTTTTGGAAAAAAAAAAAAAAATGATTTTTTATTATAAAATGATAGAGAATCTTTTCCTGATGGTAATGACACCAAAAGTACAAAATTTGGTCGAAAACTCACGGAATTACGCTCCCGCAAAGTTAGCGGTCTCGGCGACATATACGCATCGGCGATTTCACTGACTTTGAGCCCTGTTTTTGGCCAATTCCGTTGTTCCAGTTGACAAAACTTATAGCTATTTCTTTAGAAGTCCATTTTTTCTATCAGTTGAGTACAAGAAACTGCCCATTTACTGATTTGAACTACCCAATAAAGTGGTCAGAAATTGGCAATTTGGCCAATTTCACGCAAATTAAAAAAGATGCCAATTTCAAAATAGGGTCCAGAATAAACAATGTAAACATTCTTAACACTAAAATAACATATCCTCTGTTCATCAGTCACATCTCTAGGCCCCTCTTATATTACTATTGCTTTCTATTTTGATTTTTTATTCATACAAAAAATACAAAATTTACTGTTATGCAGACTACTGCATTATTGTAAAAATGGTATAAATAAAATCAGTGCACTAGTGAAAGAATATTAGACTCCCCAGTTGACGTGTATTGGACGTGTGGTGTGATTTGCTTACTCCTGAACACTGGTAAAAATCAAACATTTCCACTACTTTGAGCTCAATTTCAAGATCGTTTTCATCGTGAAACTAATCAAAATTATCTCTATTTCTGTAATATGTTTTCCATTTTATCACATGAGACCATGAAAACGAGAATACAATGATAAATACTACATGAAAATACACCTCAAAGTCGGCATTTTAATCCAAAAAAAAGTCAGTTTTTTTTTTCTCATTATGCACTGCGTGCTGCAGGATTTTTTTTTATGTGGTGAACACTGACCACACAAACCCATTCTCTCACATGTGGGCCTACCAGCTTTCTCCTGCTTGATTTGAAGCCGCTAGAATTT